CAAGATGCTGGGCCTGAAGGTGAAATATCTGGACCATATCAGAGATGGATGGCCGGAGCTTAGCCAAGGTCTCGACACATTATTGGCATGGAAAGATGGCGATGTCGGGGATATTTTTACACGAACTTACGAGTTCAGCTTCGAGGCCTTTGGAAGTATAGAGACAATTGATATGCAAAAGGTTAACCGTGATGCGGCGTGGCCTCTTGCTAGCAAAGTCAAAATCACTGCTCCGGCTCCTATCGCGGGCTCCAGCGCCTGGATGGATGTGCCAGCTTACTGCGACCCTGCGGTATTGAGATCACCAACCTCCATGGAAGTCGAGGAGGCTACCGATGTCACATCCTGTGGGCCCGCGCCAGGCGCGACCGCCAAGTCAGTGTCTGAGTCCATATCACTCCAGTCCCCTCTACCTCCGGCTGAAGAGGCCGCTCTTGTGACCAACAAAAATCGACATCAGTTTGTCAAGGATTACATCTTCTGGCTCACAGACAAATCCATTCGACCACAATTTGAAGCTTTCCAGAGGGGGTTCAACACGTGCCTGGACCGATCAGCTCTGTCCATCTTCTCCCCGGAAGCGCTGAAAACCGTGGTAGAGGGTATTCAAACAATTGACGTAGAAGAGCTCGAGAACCATACCCGGTATGAGGGAGGATTTGGTCCTGATCATCGTGTCATTCGTGACTTCTGGGATATTATTCAAGACTACCCCAATGAAAAGAGGTCCCAGTTACTCGAATTCGTCACTGCTAGTGACAGAGTACCCGTCAATGGGATATCAAGCATTATGTTTGTGATCCAGAAAAATGGCGTCGGAGATTTGGTAAGTTCTACCATTTCCCATAACCTACATAATATAGATTGTCGTACTAATTGTTCTTCTAGCGTCTTCCTACCAGCTTAACGTGTTTCGGACGTTTACTTCTTCCAGAGTACTCGTCAAAGGAGGCCTTGGCGCAAAAGCTTGACAAGGCTCTCGAAAACGCCCAAGGATTCGGTGTTGCATAAAAGGTTGTCAGATTCCATTGTTTACCTATACATACCCATTTGTTCTATAATTCACTGATGTGGTGTTGGGATTCTATCCCATATGGCGCATATAACATATTCTCATGAAGTACTTGGCCTTCTGGGCATCTAGAAAGGATCCCTCATTAAGATAGACAAATCACAATTTATAGATCACCATCGGACTCCAATGCAGAGCTGTGGTTCGCTTGACGATGTGGCGCTCCGCAAATTTATAGGACCAAATCGGACTTCTGAGGTCCGGTGGTGTTGTATGACTCTTAACATTCACTTCCCTTAATTATATATCTTCATTTCTCACATATATATCTCTTAATTATATCAGAAATTCTTTTGGGGTCAAATATACTCTGTAAGGCACCCCGATTTGCCCGTGTCCGTGCCCTTGGCCCAACCTTGGAAGCCCTCCACCGCTATCACCCCCACGTCCTGCGATAAGCACTTTCGACATCTTCAATATCTGCAACTCCTGCAAGTTTCTAACGTGAAATCCACCAGCTTACTCCCGATACCCTCTCAAACATCGAATATGGCCCCAATTATCCACTGTGTCCGCCACGCCCAAGTATGTACATTTCGTGACAATGATCGCAGCCCGACTCCTTGAGCCTCGACAATTCATTCGCAACCTTGAAACATGACTCTTCACTGCTCAGTCGAACTAATAGATAATCACAGGGCCTGCACAACGTTTGCACCGCCAACCACGTCATCCAAGACCCCCTCCTCACTGACCTCGGCCACGAGCAATGCAAAACGCTCCGCGAGAACTTCCCCCGCCATGCCAACATCGACCTGGTGACTGCCTCGCCCCTTCGTCGCACCCTCTATACTGCGCTCGAGAGCTTTGCCCCCGTCTTCGAGTCAAAGCCAGACTTGAAGATTATTGCCCTGCCTGACATCCAGGAGACCTCAGATGTTCCCTGTGATACTGGCAGCGAACCTTCTGTTCTGAAGGAAGAGTTCAAGACAGGAGTTGATCTAGATCTCGTGCAAGAGGGGTGGAACAACAAGGTATGTTTCTCTCCTTCCTGCTGTTTGGGGATTGCCTCGGCAGTGTTCAGCACGTGGTGTACTCACATTTATCCCTCAAAAAGGTATCCGGTCGTTACGCCCCAACCAACAAAGCCCTCAAGGAACGCGCTCGTGCAGCCCGTCGCTGGCTGAAAGCCCGCCCAGAGAAGGAAATTGTCATGGTCACGCACGGCGGGTTCTTGCACTATTTCACTGAAGACTGGGAAGACAGCAGCCAGTACCAGGGTATGTAATACGATGCTATGATTGTAGGGGATCATACCACTAACGCCATTTTTCATTCTCGCAGGTACCGGCTGGTCCAACACCGAGTACCGTACTTTCACTTTCAGTGAGGAAATCCACACAGACGATTTGGAGGGATACGCACTGGATGGTGATAATGCCTCACTTGAGGAGACAATTGACTCACGGAAGCGCCGGGGTAAGACTGGGCCTATGCCTAGCCGGGAAGAACAGAAGACGCTGTATAAGAAAGGCACCCAGGGCTGGGATGACCAGGGATTGCAGATGAGCACTGCTGATCGGGAGGCGGCCAAGGTCACTGGAGGTGAGGAGGTCAACGGAGTCCGTGTATGAACTGGACAGTGAACAAAAGTGTGATTTTGATGGACATTGCTATTGTACTTTTCGGTTGTCGCAGATTGCGACGGTTTACAGAGATAGAACCAGTATATACATAGATATGACATAAACCAAAAAATAATTCCGTGGACCTTTAAGCAAGGCTCTTTGTTCCATTGCCTGTTGATTTCTTTTACTTCCCTTGGTACTTGAGCCCCTTGGGCTATTTTAGCCCTCGGTGGCTGTTTCAGCAAACAATAGGCACGAAACCGATGAACATGGATTATATGAAGGCCTTCATTGTTGAGTCTTTTACTCCTCGTAAATCTTCTTTATCTTCGGGTGAACAATGACCTTCTTCGGCCTCAAAAACACAATAAAACAGTCCGCCATAGTCTCGACAAGCATGCCGACAAAAGATTTGTGGAGAACAACTATGAGCTTGGCTACGCTTTGTCTTGGATATAATTGTCTATATAATGGCTTTCGGGCCCCTCGCTTTTAATCCCATCATCAGGAGCATTCCAGCTCAAGACAGCTAGCTCAGCACCTGTCTTCTACCTACTACAAATGGACTGCGAATTATTGGCTGAGTACCTTTCCCATTCAGTGGGCTTCCAGGATATACACTGAAATTTCTATCTAGGAAGGTTTATATATCACGCTACCATATCTACCTACGTATGGACATATCACGGGTGGGCGGCCTTTTAACTAGACGATTATCACTAACATATAACATAGCAAACTAGGGCACCGTGGCATTCGACGACGACGAGTATCGGTCCGAACATCCTTTATTACCTGTCTATGGTTAAGTCCTTTGATAACCCTTTCCCTCGCCCCTATACCTCTTTTACTAACGAGACTCAGAGATTACCGCACATACATCGTCCAAAGCCTTTCGAGTATACCGTTCTACATATCATATATCCACCCGGTAGGTCATTCCAAATGTACAGAGACATACTAACAGACTGAATTAGGTCCCCTTGGAAGATATTCCCCGAATAACGACTCAGATACTGATAACAGATTGGTCAGGTTCTTTATTACCCTTCTTGAAAATGCGAATTCAGTACCAACGAAGCATAGGCCCGTCGACCTTATAGTTCCCCTACCAAGCAGCTAAGTTATTCTCTGCCCTTACGTCACTGATCGGAATTTTATAGATACATCTTGCCAATAGGTCACAATATACTGTGGTCAGTGACCAGCCGTATAGAGAGCTAGATTTACCATTTACTACTCCCCACCCCCTTTGATTTGGATTCCATACTAACACATCTATATAGGACTTGATTCTTGTCCAATAAAATGCTCATAGTTTTCTTTTTTTTTCCCTTTCAAACAGCTAGGTTATTCCCTGGAACCCCATTATGACTAATTTGGATTTTACAGGTAGTCATATGCCAATAGACCATCGGGACTAGCTTGATTAATTGAACAGCTGGCGGCTAAGTCGTTTACAGATTCCTTTCTAATACTGGCTATGTTATATCTATCAAACAGTTAAGTGATTCCTCTTATAACCCCGTCGTGACTAACTTGTGTCATATAGACATCCAAGAACGCTTCCTGTGACCAGCTCAATTATCGTGCAAGCTAACCGATTATATTACTTGCTTTATGTATTCGTGCTAATTCAATCATAGTGGTTGTTTATTGACCGAATATTCAAGGATTATTTCAACGGGGTTCAAGGCCAGTCATAGCTGAGTCATTCTCTTGACCCTCAGTACTAACGTGGAATTTAGAAGCCACACGGTCCACACCTCGATGCGTTAATACGAACACTGCCTGATAAAGCTATGACTAAGTGCCCATATAAGCCCTTCCTTCCTCTGAAGTCAGACTCGGCGCTAATCGAATTGACGATATAGACATTATCTTTAAAGGACGCGCTTGCTTTGTCACAAATTCCATGGAAAGCCGCCACAATTGGACTAATGACAGCATTGATTAACAATTAAATTGCGGTATTTGAGAAATATGGCAGGTATACAATGTTTTTTTGTGAGGATAGCATGTAAATAGCATGTCAATTTAATCTTTCGATTAGGATCGTACATAGGCATTCATAAGCTCGTAGGCAGTTAGGTTTCAGGAATGTCATGCATAGAATGCCGATGCCTATATTTTCCCCGTATACTCCATAGTCTGATCTACATACGGAGTAGATAACTAAAATACTTTAAATGCTGGTGCCTTCAATTGACGTACGAATCAGCGGGGATCGGCCTGCTATTTTTAGGCGCCGATCACCGAAGTTCCGTGGCGCAGACTTCACTGCCGCGGGTGAGCTCTGGATATAACTCCTTCACATAACCCGGGTCTCTTGCTGAGTTTTACACACTCCAGATGACAAGATGATCGATGAAAATTTACCCAGTACGTTGTAAGGAGGAAACCTCTCTTAGCGCAAGCTACGTCATCCCCTGCCTTCGAGATTCTCATACTGACTACAGGACAGCATTCTTTCTCAAGAACAACTCAAAACAACCTCAGATCAGCACCATATACCATAGCCAACATGGAAACGACCCCGAACCTTCCTATTCCTTGCGCGCGCTCGACCCCGCCTCCCCAACATCACAAAACCGCTACGGAGTCGCGTTGTATGACCCTTATGTGACAGACGTTGTCTACGGCGAGGTAGCCGTGGCTCCAGATTGGACACAACCGAGTATGTCGGCAGAAGCAATACGGGCAAATGGTGGCGCTGTACCACCCCCAGAACCCATCCTCCCTACCGAGTTCAACATCCAGCTCTACAACCCCGACCAAGAAATCACTGTGAAATATCATACCAAAACGTGGAACAAACCAGCTCGGTGGGAATTTGAGATGCCGCAAAACACATTCCGGGTTCCGTCAGCTTCAGCGCTAGACCAAACTCAGATCGATCCTTCTATCGCAGATGTTACTCCGAAGTTGAGGTTCAGTTGGCGCAAGGATGGGAAGCTGTCAAAGGATTTGACTTGTCTGTTGCACGGTAAAACTTCAACAATTCCCGACACGCGCACAAAGAGCCGCGAGCCAGATATTACTATTGCTCTGTTTCAAGGGCTGAAGGAGCTTACTCTCTATGAGCCCAATCTCTACCGACTCGAGATGGAAGATGCGAAGGGGTTGGAGGTCGTCCTGCTCTTGGCAGCCGTTGCGATTCGAGATATTTTCTTTGGGCCTGCCAAGGAGGCCTTTCACATTACCCCCACTGGACCTAACCCAGCTCGCAAGCCAGTAGCAGGATCAACTGCAATTGCGGCGCCGACCACACCAACGAGCGATCCCAGGTCCGATCGGAAGAACCCACAGGCCCGACCTCTTAGCGTGGCAATGAGCGGAAGGCCATCCCCGCCTCGGCTTAGCATCCCGAACGCCTCATCTCCGGCCCCACAAGAGAGGAGGCGACAGGATGAACTCGCAAGACAGGAAGAGGAACGACGAAGCCAGGAGGTTCTCGCCGCAGAACAAAAAGCACGACGTCGGCGGGAGGCAGAAGTCGAAAAAGAGACCAAACGCCTGCAGAAGTTATACGGGAAAGAAGAAGAGCAAGCACGAAAGCAACGTCATACTCCAGCTCCCTCGTCTAGGCCCTACCTTCCACCCCGACATACCGGACCCCCTCAACCTTACTCTCACCAATACTCTCAATCCTCAGTCCAACTTTCTTCACAGCCTATGGGTCGTCCATCCCATCATCCCCGCCAACAATACCCACACGGCGCACCGGTCTCGAATGGCCCATATCTCCACGCACCGGGCCGCATGGATCCCCGAGCCCAATCCTCCACCCATCTCATGCAGTCCCGACCACAACAACTACGCCCGCAACCCCGACCGCAGTCTACCGTTGGGTTCCACCCTACCAGCAGTGGTGCTCTCCCAGCGGCATCAAGGCCGACATCTCAAGTTCAGCCGAAAAAAAGCGGTTTCTTTGGGTTCCGGCGCAACAAGGAGGAAAATACTGCTACCAAGCTGGAAAAAAAGCGGAGTTCTATGTTTTGATCATCTATACCCTGGCGCTTACGTCCTTTCCTACATTATATTTTGCATTTCGTGGTTATACTTTGCCCTTGTTATCATCTCATTGTACCCAGGTACCTAGGTAGTTGCATACCCATTACCTTTTCATTACAGTGCACTTAGATGATATCTACTGTTCTACGGATTCAAGACCTAATAGATTAGCGAAAGACGCCTCCTGTTTCTCATATCAGGTGTTTCTCGCGAAAGACGACAAATGCTTCACCGCAAGCAAGTGAGTAGACATCTTGAAGCATAGTAAAGGACGGTTAGACCTACGTACTGGATTTCCTTTGACGATTTTTGGCTTCCTTTCCCGGGTTAGTGCTTACCCTTTCGCCGCTTTTACTCACTGAGCAGATCTGAGCAGCCTCCGGCTCAGAGATCGGATCAGCAATTTTGTGAGAATGGCATTTCCTTCTAGCGCCGTTGTCTATTCATCAGAGGAGCTATTCTATTTATCAAAGGAGCTATAAGATACTGATCTTAAGTGACTAGGTCTTTGATTTTGACTGCAAGTACTTCTTTCGTACTCTTTTTGTATATAATGAACTGACTCCTCCAAGTTGGTGTATTTTAACGCGCCTCTGTTCTATCTACTACGAAAATCTAGGTAGTTCGTTAGACAAAGGCGGAGCTTTGTGCCTGAAATAAGGCATTTGAAATGGCAACTCTTTCTCTTATGTATAACGAAGTTATCATACGTAGGACAGTATTGGAATCTCAGTCTTGACGTTATATATCCCCCCATATCTCCCGTGAAATAACAATTAGAGGCGCGTATCTAATGATGAGTCTCTTAGCATGGTATCGAAAGCTACGTAATGTGATTTACGTATAGCCACAATATATTATAACAAGCCATATATTTGGCCCTATTTGCTTTTCTCCCCAGGAATCAAGTAAACACGTATAGTATTATCATATAAATTGCCACGTATCTGTGGTTCGGTGTTGGATATTGGTACTTCCAGCAGACTCAGTGGACTTGGACAAACCAGAGGTAGAGTTTCCATTCTGGTGCAGGTGAGCTCCTTCAGCTATAATTGAGTGAAAAGGATCGTGGGACAGAGTTTAGTGAAAGCTCGGTATGATCAGGCGTGCAATATATCAAGCAAGCGGGACGAGAAAAGAAAGACATTTTTGCCACTGAAATGTTAGACTAGAATGATTTTAGATAAACGTTTTTCATAAAGCCCGAAAAATTATGTTAAGCACGTATCCTCCGGAAAGAGCAAAAGTCTTCTGTCCATTTCACTGAGCCTACCTCTTGTAGCTTAGCATTGAAATCGTCAATTCTGGACCGCTTGCCTATAATTGTACTGCCAAATAACACCTCTGTCAATCCGTGCCTCCACTCGGATTTTTCCGAGTTCCGCCAAAAGTGTGGCCACAGCATCAACTGAGTCGCATTGCTTTCTGGCCGGGTCGCCCATGCCTTGATCGGAATTTCTGTCTGAGGCCTATGATGTCTCGGTACGCTGAAGCCCGAGGCTGGCGGACGAAGGCCTCTCAGCTTTGAAATTTCAGTCCTCTGAGCGTCGGGTACAGGAGCCTGGAAGTAGACCCAGAATAATTGAATGAATGAAGAATCCAAGACCTCAAACCAATTCCCAACATAAGGGGTTTCGTGGGAGCTAAAGATCATAATGTTCTTTGCTGCCAAAGTTTCCCAGAGAAGCTGGGCTGAGGGAGAGTCTTGAAAATATTTTATTGCATCGGTTGTCTCCCACACTGAGAATTCATGAGCACGTCAGTATCTTTATCTTTAGAATTCCCGAGCGGTACTTACAAGTCGCTAGTAGAGCAGTTTTGGGTTTATCTTGAATCATTCCCCACATAGAGCGATTGTGGCCAGGGGTGTGAAGCAATGGTTGAAAATATTCTGTCAATTGCGCATCATCAAGCTCTCCGGGGACTTGAAGTTTCGTCAAGACAAATCTTTCCGGGAGGCCAGTGTTGCTGAATAAATTGGAATCGGGCATAGCTGATGAAGAAACAAAAAGAGTTGGCCAGATTGTTGGAAGTTTCATGAGAATTTCAAGAGTAAGAATTGCAGAGCAACAATGCCGTTAGACTGAAAGGGTACACACCAAGGTTATATTACTCGGTTACTAGTACAGTCAAAGCCCGCTTATGGTACACCCTACTATCCAAGGAAAAATATGTACAATAAGCGGATTGTATAACGTATTCGGTAAGCGAGTGGTTCATGTAAGCCAGTGGTCCACCACCACTAAACCATTAAATTTAAGTGCATTTATCTCACCCACAATGCCATTAATGTAATTCAACTAGCTGATTTCTCTATCTGGACATGTCTCTCTTCTATGACCTGGCAATCTGCATATTCCACATGCTCGCCCGGCCCGTACAGGTGGTTGTAAACCCTGCTCAACCTGCTCACGATAGGTATTTATATACGCTACTTGGGTCTCAAATGGCTCCGAACGTAGCTTATGAACCTCCTAAACTAAAAGATCCCCTTTGTGATCTATATGCCTTAAAGATAGGATCCTCTTTTGCTTCTTTTTCTCGTTCTCAGCGCGTAATTCTTTGTTTTCTTTCGCAAGTAACATTGCACTTTGCATTGTAAGACGGAAGCCTTTTACAAGCTGGTTTAATACACGATCTGACGGGCTAGGTAGACTTCGAGATCTTATTCGAAGTAAAGCTTTGATTTATAAAGCCTGCCGACGTAGTTCTTTCTCTGTAGCTAGTATTTTTAGTATAAAATTCTAGCTTGATTCGCTCCCTCGGCTTAGAGTAGGGATTGGAGTTCGAAGACGAATATTTAGCTTTAAGATCACTCGATCGGGTATAAAAGGTACTAAACCAGCTGCCCCGAAGCTATTTTTAATAATCTCCGATCTAAAGGCTTCAATTCGTACTTCTAGGTATACTTCAAGGAGGTCAAGTTTATCGATATAATTGATCCCGTTCCGTATCTTCATCTCAACTATCCGACTATATAATCCTTTTAATACCGCAAAACAGCCGATATCAAGAGGTTGTAAAAGATAAGAGGAGTGTAGCGGTATATAAATTGGTATAACCTTATTTCGCTCACAAATTTCATCGAATTTTGGAGTTAAATAACTTCCATATCCATCAAGTATTAAAAGTCGATATCTCCCCTTCGTTCGTAAAGAAGTACTAGGAATAAAGAGCTTTTCAAGCCAACGAAGTCCAATTTCATCAGAGGTCCAGCCGCTAGGACTAACTTCGAAGCGCCAATCATCCGGAAGGCCGTCAAACCATAATTCAATAAAGACTTTGCCTTTAAAGATAATACACGGAGGGAGGGCCCACCCCGAAGCATTTATACACTCAATTGCAGTCACCCACTCTCGATTTCTAGGTTGTGAAAGTGCTCACCGACCGTATAAATCTCTTCTGGTAATAACCTTAGCCGTTGCTGTCAAGTCCATCGCGAAACCAGTCTCATCAAAGTTATAAACATCATCAGGGTCGATCCCAAATTGAATGACTGTTTTTTGAACAAGATTAAACCACCCTCGAATAATCTCCGGGTCTTCGCATTTCGCACGAGCCCGGACTATTAAAGGTCAAACTCGCAGATAGTTCGAAGTAATAAATTGGTCGATATCGAGGCCGTGTAAGCGTTGGAATCACCACCATATTTAGATAAATAGGTAGTATATTCGTTCTCTCTTGGATACTGAGCGGAGAATTGTTGGTATTTGTTTCTTGGATACACTATTGGATTTTCAATCTGTCCATACCGGTCGCTCACCTTCTTCGTGCCCATAAAACAAAAATGTTCTACCGCGTGCGCGGTTCCCGGCAGATCATCCGGATCGCTAAAGCTACCAACGTTGACATCCATGGCTGCAGCAGATTTATCAGTATCTGGATCATGGATCAAAAGAATCTCCAGTTGATTGGGCAAGTTGATCACTCGGCACGATCGGTCGTCCAATAGCGGTTTCAGCATTGTGTCTAAGATGAATTCAACAGAGCCGGAACGAAGCGCTTCCTTCATGGCATCCCCCATATTTATAGCGTATGTTCTTTGTGATACCTCTCTTTTGACCTTCCCAGAACGATAGCGAGCTAACTGCGAATGTTGTGACTTGGAAGCAAGAATTGATGCAGTATCTGAACCTCGAAGATTGAGCGACTCTGTTAGCGGACGGATGTAAAATTCACAGAGAGACGATAAAGTAAGCAAGGTTGGGGTATGGACGCTTTGAATTTTGCATACAGAGGCCGCCTAGGTGAAACATCAAGTCTGGCGATGGCGCGCTTTATGCTAATACAGCCTACAAACCGACGGCGAATCAACGATTTGGATCGTCTGTACGGTAAACCTCGGGATTGATTGTCACCCACAGCAAACGTGAAGGTAATTGATCAGTGAGCGATATATACGGGTATGCGATCTACAATCTCAGTATTAAGACCCCTAAGACTTTTGGCCTGAGTAAGCTAGTTAATCAAAAGGACAAAATTGAATTAAAATAGTCTATATCGTAGCCTAGCTCCTAGCTAAACTGTAGAGAACAAGATTTTCAAATGATTTGTTACAATAATATTCTCAAAGGAAAGTTGATATAGTAAAGAGTACAGTGCGTGACCTTACGACAACCTTAGAACCTGCCCAGACTTCGCGATTTGGTCCCCACTTTCTCCACCCAAGCACAGGCTCGGACCGGCCCATACAGATGATCTTGGCACTGCGGACCTGATATTCACATTTAATTCCAGGCTTGAGGTATTGCCAGGTATTGCACTATTCTTGCGATAACACATGAGCAAAATATTACGTAATTAACTAGGATACAACTCGTGCGATGTGACCCTACGCGCTTCACAAAATTACCAATCCTATGTCAACTATATCACGCATTTGACTAGGATATCATTCCTGCGATGATAACAGGCCGAGATCGGTGTGGTTACCCAGAACGTACTATTGTTTATCGTAGAATAATATCAACATAACCTTGGAAGGAAACTCTGTAATAGATCGCTATGTCTTATCGCGAGTTCCAGGTGACCAATCTACGTATATAATTCCGCAGCACGACACAGCGTATTTACTCAAGAAATGCTCGTGCTTATCGCAAATATTAACCTCGGGAAATTGTACCGTCGACTTGAAAATATGAAAAAATACAAAAATGAAGATTCAGAGATTACTTAGGTACCTCAACACCTCGGATAATTGCATAAGCTTTCTAATTAACCCTTAGCCAAGCCTGCAGCCACAAACGCTTAGACGGACTTGATTTTTCTCCGCGTTTCGACTTCGAGGGCCCTGAGCCCATCCTCCCCACAAGAGCTCTGCTCTCGACCAATCCTTTACTTCTTCTCTTTCCCTTCGCTGTACTTAGTTTCTTGAAATCAAATGCACTCTTTTCATTGAAGAACTGGCAGGTCACAGTTCGCAAATAAACAGAATTGCGGGGCAAAGAGCTTCTTTGGGTATGGACTAAAACTAATCAAAGTAACGGCTCTTCGAAGCAATGGCTCATGAGCGCCATCTCCAAGTACTCCAATTCTTCTGCCCGCTGTTCTAACAACCGTTTGTCAGTGGTAAGGTTTCCCACCTTTTCCCTCGCTGGAGGTCGAGGTTGGATACCACTGTCTGACAAAGCGGCTCCGTGTTGTTCTCCAGCAAGCCTCGGTTGTCGTCCTTCAGCTGTTGTATCCCCTGTTGGGATTTCTCGCCTTCGTGGGCAAGGTAGTCCGCTACTTCCTTCAGCTCCATATGATCATCCTTAAGGGCCTATTTACCCCTCGCAAGGTAGTCTGCATCGGCCTCCAGTCTGTCATACCGGGCTCGCCGGCTGTTAGCAAGCCTTCCCGCTCACTCTCGAGCTGGTCGTATGCTTCCTTGATTCGAAGGTCATCGGTAATCTAAGCGTTGGCAGTAGGCGTTTTCGTTGATAAGCGCGGTGATGGGGGCGTGAAGAGACTGCATCTGGTCGTCGGTGCGGGCCATATAGCCATTACTGCAAAGTTTGAATCAGCGAATAGTTCAGGTATAATTACCGTTGAAGTCTGTGTGACTGACAGAGCGATGCAAGATGAAGTGAGGGAAAGGTTAACGCAAGGTAAAAAAAATAAAAAATAAAAAAGATATGAAATAGGAGATCTTGAAATCTATAGACTTGAGAAGAAGAGTATCCGGGAAAGGGGATTAGGGGGATAGAAAAACCGAGGAAAGGGGTATGAATATCTCGATAGATATATGCAGGTAAAGGATAGGAAGGTATAAGTGAGAGAAAAGTGATAACGGGAGATGTGTAAGAAGGAAGAATCGAGAAAGTGAAGAAGTAATGGGAGGGGGTACAAATACCCTAGAAAACCTTAGGAGAAGGTAAAGAAAGAATTGAAAGATAAAAGAGGTTGAGGAGTGGAAGAATTGAGAGAACGAATTGAGGGAAGAGATGTTTATACAGAAGATGGAATAAGAGAGATCAACCGAGACTGCACTTTCCTTATAAACTTACATAGTATGGCCTCTTTCGCTCTTTCCTTTTTAACTTGGGAACATCGACTGGGGTGTCACAGGTATAATAGTTCTTCCTCGTCTCTTAAGAAGAAAGAGGTAAAAGGCAAGCAAGAATCTACAAGTCAGCGCAAAGCAAATTCCGTCTGTGGTCGGAACGGTCGTAAACACGAAGTATGCTATTTGGGGAGGCATCTTCTTAGGCCATTGATTTTTCGGTGGAAAGATGCTTGGGGAATATTTCATTTTGAATATCTTCAGAGATGAAAGGACCTTGAGAGATGTAACGGGAAAACATTTCATTTAGTCTTAACTAATGATTCAGCTCAATCCTGACGTCGACCTTCATCATCAACCAAGTTCCGGGCTTAGGCAGAAGATCATCCCAAGGTTATATATGCGCATCTGTTCGCCGGGGATGTATAAATGAAAGTGAGAGATAGATAGAAAAGGATCTGCCATGGTTGAAAGACAGTCCCAAAGGCGTTGAGGAATTATAACCGAAAGCAATTCCCCCATCCCTTCGAGTATCCGAGTATCCGCACAACATTCACCAATGATCAATGCACATATAATCAAAGGGTGACAGCGCACGCACTCAAGATACCGGCTTCCTCAGTCAAAGCAGCAGTAACATGAGCAGGAACTCCTCTGTCAGTGCCGAGGATCATCAGGGCTTCCTTCAATGATTGACTCTTTGCAACTAGTTCTTGAAAGCCTTCATCTACGACAAGAGACTTCTTTGAGCTTTCATTGATAGCCAGCTTGGTTGAAACAGGAGCAACAGCCATGAAATTGATGTTGACACCCTCTTGACCAAGAATATTACCCACAACACCAATCTTCCCCGGTGAATCGTAGTTCTCACAAATCAACAAGTTACCCTCTGGTTCAAAAGAGGCTTCAAATCGACCCAGGCGAGTTATAAGTGGCTGATCACCAGAGCAGGTGCCAGAAATAATTCGCTGGGGTTGATCTGGAATTGATCCAGTGGAGTTGTCGCCGGAAGCTGGGGCGCGGGACGATGCCCGAGAAGGTGGACGTGCAACAAGAGTGACTAGCGACGAATAGGACGAGTGGTCGGACGGGTCACGGGAGTGCTGCTCTGAGACAAAGATACCACGTTCGCGAGCCACCAGCTCAGCGTTGACAATATTAATGTTGAGTTCCTCTGTGCTGCTAATAGGAGCAAGAAGACCCTTGATCAAAGCGGCGAAGAGCGGCTTTGTGTTATTGATGCTAGCCAACTCACCTTGATAGATCAGATCAAAAGTGTTTCTACCCATTGCGCCGCCAGGAGAAGCTGCATAGTGCTGGGTATACAGGCTGCCCAGCTTTTCAACCAGGCGTACAAATGGCTGTAACTTCTTGTATTCCTCGGGTAGGATGAGAGGGGCATTGACAGCGCTCCGTGGCAACGATCCTTGTAAGATTTCAAGCACCTGCTCGCACACATCAACTGACACATTTTCTTGTGCCTCTACTGTGGAGGCACCAAGGTGCGGTGTAACAACAGCTCGTGGGTGGGCGATTAGTCGTGCTGCAGATGAATCAGGAGCAGGAGGCTCTGAAGTGAACACATCAATGGCAGCACCGGCAAGATGACCTGACTCCAGTGCCGCGAGGAGCGCATCCTCATCAAATGTTCCTCCCCGTGCTACATTCAACACCCGAGCACCTGGCTTCAGCTGTGCCAGTTCGGCTTCCGCAATCATTCCCCGGGTTGAGGCAATGAGAGGTGTATGAATCGTAAGGAAGTCAGCAGATGAGAGCAGGTCCGGGAGCGAAGATACAAGGGTGACCGAAGCCGACGCTGCAACCGCTGGGGATGCATATGGATCGAGAGCATTCACATTCATACCCAAACCCTTGGCCAGTCGTGCTACTGTCAATCCCACTAGTACATTATAGGGTCAAACCATGTTCCCAAACAAGTCAATTAAGGAATGGTTTACCTTTTCCTAGACCAATAATTGATAATGTCTTCCCCTTGACTTCGACGCCGACGAATTTACTTCGTTCCCATTTCCCATCTTTGAGACTAGCACAGCTCTCGGGGATTTTCCTTGCCATGGCCATCATCAATGCAATTGTATGCTCAGCTGCTGCGCCAATATTCCCCGAAGGTGAGTTAACGACCACAATTCCAAGCTTCGTAGCTTCCACGACATCTATACACCAGTCAATCATGCACCCTGGCGAACCACAATATTCAAACTTACCAACGTTGTCAACCCCAACCCCAGCGCGCGCTACCACCTTTAGGTTCTTTGCAGCTCGCAGCACAGTGGCAGTGACTTTGGTCTCAGATCGAACGAGAAGGGCATCGTAGTCGGGGATTATCTGGAGTAATTCATCAGCACTGAGACCTTTTCGCTCGTGGACATCCAGCGAGCTGCGCAGAAGAGCCAGTCCATCTGGCGATAGCTTTTCTGGCACAAGGGCCTTGGGACGAGAAGCTGTTAGAAGAGGCATGATTCAATTGTTTCAATTGAGGGGGAAGACAGAGACAAGTCCGGTTTTTAAGGCATTGTATTACTCCCCGCGGCAGGCGCGCCCTCGGATTTCTTCCCCCTTTGTCCAATCATCATCTATACGACCTTGGGAGATATGTACACCTGCACAGAACGCGGGGTACAACCACCATGATTGGAGAGAAGCCTTCTACAGGGTACCCCGGGGACTATGGACTCTCAATCTGAGTATGCCAAGTCAATCCCATTGGACTTCATGTCTATCCTCTACGCAGATCCTCCCGTCATACCTACGCCCTCATTTACCATATTGTCCAAGACATCAATGCCGTTTGTTTAGGGTCAAATTATCTCCATTTCAATTATACCCTTGTTTTTAATTGCTTTCCGCTGGGCAGGCACTGTTTCTAGGAATGTGGGGGGGGAGCTCTCTGGAAGATCAACAATTGTCGGGTGACAAGAGACTCGGATGCCATCTAAAACCTCATTCGACTGTGTGGTCAACTAGAAAAGCAATATCAATCCCAGAGATACGCCTTCACCCGGATTGATCCAAGTGGGCGCAGCCCTAGACGAAAGCCTCACATGCCTAACGAAAGGTATCGGCGAGGCTTACAACTTCAAGGTAGCATCATAATTCCCTTGCTGAATGAAAACTTGCACCACAGTTTCTCAATATTCATTGGTAGTGCGAGCTCATAATACCGGTGGACGGAATACATCGTCCACGTGGTTACGCCAAGTATTAGTAGGAAGCCTGTTGCCACCGTGGTATTCTTAATCCACGCTGAGAGTGACACAGCAATTATTGCGAGACTACCGGCAGGCGAATGGTCACTGACAATGAGTCTAGAGTACAAGGTTTTACCCTAAGCGAGAGATACTGTATAGTTTTAATTGACCTCCAGGGTGGCAATTTATAAATAGGGGCAGAATGTTGGGAATTATTCCGAGGTTCTACCAGTTGGGTGGGTTATCTAAGGTCAATCCCATCTTCACTTACACCTGGGCATGTTGAGTTAATTAGGTCAATTCATCTCATTCAAACTCTTTGTTGTAAATGACTCTCTTTTATCCTCTTTTAGAATCGAGCACAACTACTCCGTACGGGATCCTATCGATTAGAGTCGATCTCTAAAACGGTTGTTCCCCGCTAATTTGGACGTTTTGCTTGGCAAAATATTCTCGCCCATGAAAACAATCTTGGAATCTCCTAGGGCTGACAGCCTCTCTCAATTTCCCCCTTCAAATCAACTCTACTCAATTTAACTTGGCTTCACTCGTCTCGATTCAGCTTCATGAAACTCGAAGCCGAAAAATGGGAACATAAACCACATTAACCTCTCATCTGCCCCCGTGATGACATCTTATCGGTCTTGACACACCATGGTGGGAGTTCCGCATAGTACAGGCTGTGCCCTGTGTCGCGAGCGACGGATCAAGGTAAATATGTACCCAAGCATAACATCGAGCTATTGGGCTAATAAAGTCCCCAGTGCGACGAGGCAGTTCCGGAGTGCAGCCAGTGTCGGAAATATGGCCGTGCCTGTCCGGGCTACAGGCGAACCTTCCGTTTCCAAGACGAAGGCCCCAACCTCGCTCGGCGACACCGCTCCAACACCCGACGGAAGGGGAGAGGCGCATCGGCTGGCCCAACTGCGTCCGCTACATCGTCAACCCGAACTGATCGATCGCCCCCCGCACGCGATGACTCCACTACCGCTGCAGACGTGGTGCGCGGCAACGCGATTGCCCTCATAAAACGACACTCCTCCTTGGGTGGCTGGGATGAAAAAGTGTCGCCGTCCCTAGTGCGCAAGTCGTTCCGTGCCGCACAACCACAATTATTCCTCGACTTCATCAACACGTCGTTCCCGACCCTCTATTATCATAATCGGTTCCGGTCTGGCAATGCGCCCGGGTTCGCCGAATTTATCGTCATGAATTTCGGCAGCGATCCTTACCTCGACTACGCGATTTGCTGCTTGAGCTCTGTCTATCTAGCACACTTGACTCAAGATAAAGCTCTCCTCCAAGCAAGTCGACAAATGTACTCGAAATCGCTGCGTGAAGTTATCCGGGCCATCCCGAAAGCCAAACATGCAAAGTCTGACAACATGCTATGCACATCCATCATTCTCAGTGTCTTTGAGATGTATGCGCAGACCACGCCCGACGCCTGGGTTGTGCACTCTGATGGCGTCAAGCGGCTGATGATAAGCCGAGGCCCAGAAGCGCACGGGACCGGGTTCGGAAAATGGTGCTGGATTGCATTCCGCGGCTTCCTCGTCGCCACCGCAGTTTATGAGGGCAAACCCTGCTTTCTAGACCAAGAAGAATGGCAATCCTACGCGGCAAAGGTCAGGACGGAAGACTGCCAGAAGTCCGGTGACTGGTCTGCATACGGAGAAATATCAGACCTGGCTTTCATGGAAATCGCCAAATGCCCGCGGCATATCAGCGAGGCCCGGGATCTGCTTTCAATGCCGACCGAGCCAGACTCAACTTTAATCACAAATCTCATCGAGCGCATACATGACACTTCCCGTCGGCTGCGCTCGCTCGCCGCCGAGCTCCGGTGCTGTATCAACGCGCACAGTCAGCGCGAGCAAGGTATCGTTCAGCGACCCGGATCCTTTATCGGCCCCGTACCAGAAATCTTCCCGGACACCGGCCCATCGCTGCTCCTCAATGGAGCAGAAAATATGCTAGAGACGCTCCAGCAGCTCTCCAACCGTCTCGAAGACCGATTACGCTTTACTATTGTCGATTCGCCAGACTCGACTGTCGTCACGCCACCAAGCGTTGATAGTGAATATTCCATACCCTCTTCTGGGACGTCGAAGAGCTTCACCCTCCCCTTTCGGATCCACTCGGAGCTTGGACAGGGTCCATCTAGGACATCTGATCCACATGATCCCCGTGCTGTGATCTGGTTGGATCGCATAGCGTCGTCGATGGGTGTCCTCGGCGCCAAGGTCGTCCCGGATGATCCATCGAGTGCTTCGGTACAGATGGACAGTTCATCACCTGAAATATTGGAATTGCCGTAGTCAACGGTGATTCTTGTATTGACATGAAATGTGATGACTATATATATAACTGCTCCTAGCCGGTCTAGGATGAACCTCCCCCTACCACACAGCACTACACACAACATTACACCCTACTTCTCTCCCCAATATGAACAAAGGAACCAACCACTCAGATATCCAATTTTGATGCATAATTTCAGCGTATATAAGTATTGAGTTCTCAAATGCAATCACACTTCAAAAAAAAAAAAAAAAAAAAAAAGAACCACTTCAATAAATGCTATCACCATCCTAATAGTCCAAAGACTCCTCAAGCAACTTCCTCAACTCACCCCTCTCAGCCTCCAACTCCTTACTCAGATTCGGTGCGAGCATAAGCACCCGCTGCTGCGGAATAGTCCCCTCAACCAACCCCTCCAAATCCGCAGCCTTGAATCCTAGATCCTTCAATCCACGCGGCTGATCACCAAGCGTAAGAAGGAACTTTGCAATCGCCTCCCCAAGTACCTCACCCGCACTCTCCCGCTTAACATTGGAGATATCCACGCCGAATGCCTCAGCTGCGGCAAGATGGCGATCAGGATTCGACGCAGCGGTAAAGCGGAAGACAGCAGGCGCGGTAACAGCCACAGAAACACCGTGCGGGATAATAGGGTGATCGACCTCATAGCCCGCGTGTTTATAACCCGGGTTCTGACTGGAGATGGGGTAACTCATACCGTGGCAGAGATGAACACCTGCGTTTCCGAAGCCGACGCCGGCAAGCGTGGCAGCGAGCAACATCTCCGACTGTGCCTCGTGGTCGTTTGGATCGCGGACTGCACGCGGCAGGTACTTGACTGTTGAGCGTAGGGCGGAGAGAGAGAAGATATCGGAGATGGGGTTTGCGCCTTGGTAAGCGGGTCTGTTGATGGGGTTTGTTGGGCGTGGGGTGCGCTCGTTGTATGGGATTGCGGTCCAGGATTCGAGGGAGTGGCAGAGGACGTCGAGGCCCGAGGCGGCGTGCACGGCTGAGGGCATGGTGCGGGTGTTGAGCGGATCGCAGATTCCGAGGGTTGGTTTGAGGTTTCGGTGGGCAATGCCGGTTTTGGCTTTCTTGGAGACTAGGTCGAAGATTGCGGTGCCTGTTGTCTCAGAGCCTGTGCCTGCTGTTGTTGGGACGGCGACGAGGGGGAGGAGGGGCCTGTTTACTGGGAGGCCTTTGCCCAAGGGTGCGTTGACGAAGTCGAGGAAGTCTGCTTCGGGGAAGACAGTGTATAGGTTCATCAGTTTGGCTGTGTCGATTACGGAGCCGCCACCTGTTTTGGTGTTAGTTTGTGTATAACAAGGGGTCGGGGTAAGGGAGATGTACCGACGGCTAGGAAGGCATCGGGCTTATAGGGCTTAGCGAAAGCGATAGCCTCTTTTATACTTAATTCGAAAATATGTTAGTGCCTATACAATAGCTATGTTTGAAGCTTGGGGTTGACTTACGAGCTATCCTTGGGCTCAGTGCGAACTTTGTCAAAGATAGTAAACTCAATGCCCTCACGGGTAAGACCCTCAACAGCCTGCTTCATAGCATCAAGCTTGGCCACATTGGAATCGGTGACAATGCACACACGCTTCGCGCCAAGGTTGGTAAAGTCCATTCCGACCTCCTTGGTCGCGCCGGGTCCGAAGCGAATGCTAGACGCAGCCATTTCGAAGGCATACTCCTTCTCGCGCGAGCGGTCCACGGGTGTGGACATGCGGCGCTTTACATGGTTTAGCAGAGAGGGGGTCTGCTGGTGGTTATGGTGGTGGTTGGGGTTCTTGTGGCATGGGCAGTTAGGTGGGTGGCTGTATTGTACTGTGCGTAGCAAGTTCAGGGCGCGATTGGCCGCCGAGGGGGCGACTCTGATTGCTGGAGAAACCATTGTTCTGTGTGTTCTTTGAACTTTGTCGGAATGAGAAGAGAAGGAGGGTGAAGTTGAAGTAGAAGTAGTCAAAGGTCAAGAGACTCGGCAGATGAAATGTGGGACAAATTGGGGAAATGCGGGGAAATGCCCCGGACTTCTGGCCGAGGTGTCTGTTCTTTGGCGATGATCCCTTACTTTTACTTACTCTTGACTTACTCTCACGTATTAATATATATTTGGGGAAATCATCCACATCTCGTTTTAATATATTCTCTTAGGTTTCTCCATTTTGGAGAAACTAGGACCCAATTGCTCTCCATTCTCTTGAATATCCTACTATCCTACTACCGAGGTCGAAACCCGCCGATCATGACATCTACAACTATATATCCTCCGTGATACGCATTATGAATGAGTAATGAAACATGAAAAAGTCGAATAATTCAATTGAGCAATGCTAACATATCCACCTCGCGCATACCCAAAATCAATAACAATGTCCAAACATAATTTTTCATTCTTCCGTCCCATCTCATTCCAAAACTAAACCCCTAACCTTTCAACAAAGGGACAAGACCAAATTCGTCGAAGCATCAACGGTCCTGACCTGACTTCCGGCAGGCGGAACCCCATCCTTCCAAGCAATCAACGGCTCAGAGGGCGTAAGACTCACCGGGTAACCCTCAAACGGATCCCCAAAGACATCGGAGAGATCATACCACACTTTGTCCTGTCTCGCGCCCCGTTCCTTCGTGGAGGAAAGGTTGTACGCAAAGATCATCTGCGGGGCACTAGTGTACAGCCCATCACGGTCGGTGCTGATCTTGATTGCGATGCCGCCGGTGTTTGTGTTCTCGCGGAAGACCTCACTGTACTCGCCGTTCGGGAGTATAGTTTGCTCGGGTAGAATCGTGGATGCCACGGACCAGAGGTAGACTGGGAACTTGCAGTTGTTGTGCACTATCGCATGGCCTAGATTTCTGTGTGTGGGTGATGGCGTGCTCATCGGTCTCAATGGGCCGCTGCTTGAGGAGGGAGAGGCACTGTAAGAGATGTCTCTTGCACCCTGGTGGTTGTTGTGGATTGTTGGGGTTGACAGAGCGATGGTAGTAACTGAGAGAAGAGGGAGGATAGTAGAGAGATACATCTTGATTGATTGGTTGTAAAGCTGTTGCAATACTCTGTAGTTGTGTCTTGTGTTAGAATCAGGAATTGTAATGGCTTTATATAGGCGTTTTCGGTTCCTGCATGTGATATCATTCCATTTGTTGCTGTGTTGGTTGCACCACGAGTCTAGACCGTTGGATCTAATTCCTCACGGCAAGGTGCTTCTAGGTAGTTGCTATGAAACTTGGCTCAGGGGAAATTAGACGCCAGTGTTATGTTGTGCAATGTAGATGTGGCGCAAAGCAAAGGGGTGTGAAACTATCACAATGTAGTAGTCAAATAAGATCCCATCCAATTGTCCAACAGAAATATATGAAGAATGTCACCATTTCCCTATTTAGCGCCCATGTTCACTTGTATCCCCAGAGAAGGACTGCATGATTTGCGGGATTCCCAGTTCCAGCGAGGAATGTATGGGCCTTTAATTTTATATCGGACATATGTGGAGGATAGGATGGGAAGAGCCAAACCGATATTTCGGATCGAAGATATTGAAGAATGTGACTAGCCCGCTATCTCCAAGCATAATAGTTATAACAAAGTACGAGGCAAATTCTATGTATATACAAAATAGTCATTAGCCAGACTAAGCTGAAGGACTGTGCTCCTTCAACAACCTTAATAGTCAGTTACACCCGTGGAAGGCATGACACACCCTGGATACACAGGCAGATACTATGATTTAAAACGCTAAACCTGATCGAAATGCAAAACCCCGTGGCTAGGGCAACTGTGGCGTTCTAGACATTCATGATTTTTTTGAAGAATGTGAGCTTTTTATAGCGGAGACCATACGGAGAATTCTTTTGGGTTTGAAACCACCGAGGAATGTCAGATAGAGAGCTTCAGTAGCCGATAGCAGAGGTATAACCGCCTGCCAGAAGGCCCTGCCTACTCTGCTACGGAAAACGAATTTCAGGAACAGATTAAACTCAGGGTAGTTCATGTGGCACGCCGAAATGGTCGGTCGCTCATTTGAGACTTCCCCGACATGTCCGGTGTCTATTCATCGTGAGACAGACCTAACGGTTCTGTGTGGTATAATAAAAGGTTGAGAGATGTAACACCATACTGTGGTTCAGCTAGAAAACCTAAAGATTGGCATGGCTGAAGGAAATCTAGATCTACTCAAGTATCGTCACTCTGCCTAAATGTAGGACAGTTCTCCAACTCTTCAAAATTCGACCTAAGGTCAAAATATGCTAAGAAAGTAATTGTATATTCAAATGATGTCAAGTATGTACAGGAAGAAAGCAATGATGTAATATGTGTGACCAAACCACCCTCCAAAGAAATCCTGAATAGGAAGGCCTGTTTAGAATGAGACAACCTCCGAGGTACCGAGAACGGTGGTACCCTTGCGAGCGACAACCTGAACGAAATTGGTAGGAGGGTCGGCAATAGTAGCAGAAGTCTCGAAACCACTACGCTTAGCTGTGGCGATCTGAGTGTTGTTGATAGAAGTGGCAGAAGAAGCCGCGTAGATGACCCAATTGTCATATTCGGTAGCGCCATTCCAGCTCATGTAAATGGTGGCACCGGAGCTGGTCTTGTTGACCGACACGGAGGGTTTCCAAAAGGGAGTAGCTGTCCACTGGTAGCGGTAGCCACGGTAAGATGCAACAGCGTTGTCGTCACCGAACTGAGCGCTGAAAACGACGTTACCGTCACCATCAAACTCCTTGACCTTGGAAATAGAGCCGTAGGCTAGGAAGACATGGCTGTCCACTTCACTGAGGAGCTGGTAGCTGCCCTGGCTGACGGAATGGATGGGGTCGTTGGGGTCAGTCAGAGAGCGGAGACCGGTAACTGTCTTCTTGTTCAGATCAATATCCAGACTGATGCCAGTGGTCTCCGACTCTTCGTCCGTCGGGGTGTTGGCGTTGTTAAACAAGTTCAGGATGAGCCCATTGTCGGTCTCGTTGTAGACGCGCATGTCGTGTTGCCATGAGAATTCGGCATTACCAAGCTGCTTGAAGTCGGCGCCGTCTTCGCCGCTCACCTGCCACATCACGCTGCCATTTTGGGACAGATAGTAACCTGACCACATGTGGCGCAGCGATACAAGATAGCCATTGTTGGTGGTGGTGATGGAGTTGATGTGGTAGGCATCATAGGGGGCATCCTGGGTACCGGCATCCTTCCCGAGACCCTGGTGGGAAGTGGTCAGGGGAATGTCAGCCTCATGGTCAAGTGCACTCCACGAGTATAGCACCTGATTGGTAGGAATGTCGATCTCATAGAATTGGCTGTCCAGCATCCACTGGGAGGAGGTACCGTTGATAGAAGTCAGGTCATGCTGAGTGACGTTGTAGGCGGTGCAAATGAGAGTATTGCGGGAAGTAATGTGGCTCTCGTGCATGTCACAGTATGAGTCCTTGCTTGAGCCGTCCGGAGTGACGAAGTTGCCAGTCAGTTGGACAGTGTAGATCTCCTTGTAGGTATCATCAAGGATGTGCACAGTTCCATAGCCGTAGCCGATAGACATCATGTCTCCGGCCCAGAAGGTGATAACATCCTTGCCGAAGAGCTTTTGCACCATGAAATTGGCAGTCACCTCTTCCGGGCCTTCGTATACTAGGTCACCCGTATCATCGTAAATGAGCGCGGCGGATCCAGCGTCCTGAACGTCTCCACGTGGACCTAGGAAGATGTACCCGGGATCGGTAGTTCCGGTCTTGTTGACCTCAAGCTTCGGCGGCTCGAATTCCATCGAACTGTAGGTTGAATAGTCCCATGCAACCACCTGAAGAGACAGAGCCAGGGCGCTGCCTGCCGTGTACCACCACGGAGCCATATTGATCAAAGATCCAGAAACGAACAGCTAAGAAAAAGGATACAATATATCACAATAAAGGAACGTTAATAAATGACTGCAGTAGGGTCGATCAGGAGTGATTTGAGATCTTAATGTGACGGGTCTTTTCAATTAAAAGAACAAGCCTTAAAAATTCGAGCCCTGAAGATCATTGCCCTTCTACTGAGCCGGTGGGTTGCGATGAAGCCATTGTCCAACCAGGTTGGCCAACAACTTCCACCTTCTGCCGAATTGTGGGACTATGAATAAATCTCCTTGCTCATCGTTATGTCCCCACATGTAGAACCTTTAATCTGACTTATAAATCCCGGTATACGTGATTCATTGCGAGAGGCATGTTCCGGAGTAATCGAACCCCGCATGGAAACTAACAAGACGGTATATATCGTAGTAAGCTCATCGATCAAGATAGGGCGGTTGCCCAACCACAGTAAACTGATTGATTTGAGCGATCGGCATGACGATCAATTGTGGTTTCCCTATATGAGTTTTGGGTGGAAATTGTCGGCAGCTGTGGCGGCAATGTGACTTCATATTGGAAGGTATACGCCTTTCTAAGGTGCAGCTATGCAAGGCACTTTCGCATTCTCCGCTACTTAATATTATGTCTATGACTAGTAGGATGTCCTTTCTGGACACTTTAGCGTTGAGCGTTGAACCTCCTGAGCAGACGCTCGATTCTCCGGTTTGAGGGAAAGTATCGAACGCAACATGGAGAAAAAAGCATCTCGTTCGATTGATTCAAAATCGTCCACAAAAAAGCCTTCAAATAGCGGGCTTTGAGCAATGATATCCCATATAGTGTATCCAAGTATCCATATATCGGATAAAAGTTTGAGGGGCTTAGTTGGCTAAAGTCGAGCCTCCGGGGGTTAGATCAAAGAGGCATGGATGACTCGAATCTCTTTTCTTGCACCGAGGAGAATGTTTTGCCAAGTCTGAAAGGAGGATCCTAGCATATAGACGTTTGAGATTCTCATTTGCTTCTCCATACCAGACAGGAAAGACACCATATTCCGGGACCCCGAGGGGGAGCTTTTGATCATCTAATCGATTGACTCTCCTGGGCTCTCGTGCCGGCTCTCCATACAGCCCATGTGACCTTGATTGTTCCCAGTATATTTAGTCTTGGTACTCCAGATAGTTTCTTTCCTTTCCCCGCGCAATATAGAGGTTTTTCAGTGTCCTCCTATCTTCATAGAAGCCTACTACTTCATCTCTATCAGATTATGAGCACTAGGGATGCCTGTACACAGTGGGTCTCTGATCCCGGCTCGTTGGTGATCTTCTTTCAGAGAGCTTTCTATGGGGTACCATACCACGCATCATGGGGAGAAGCCAGACTCCGCGATGAAGAGCAATGGTCGGGCTGTGTGGTCATCGGAAGACAGTCTATCACTTCCAGAACTAGGCTTGATATATGCTAACAATGAGGTTATAATATAACGACCATGGTTACCTTGGCTGTTTAAATTTTATTTCTCGCGTCTGCCTACATTGTTTCTCGTTTTCCTTTCTACCCTTCATCTCCAAACATATGTATGGATCGCCTTGCAATTGACCTCGGCCTTGGCCCAACACGGGGAGAATTCGACAATCCCGCAGTAAGAACTGCGGTAAACCCTAAGCCTATGGCCGGGTACGCTTATGGTAAGGAAATCTCCAACCTACCTTGGTGATATACCCTCGATATGCTAAACACTTCTCAATAAGGAGAGCACAGGTGTATATGACGTCACAGTGAATGGTGAGCAGATGTATGGCTTAGTCTTCGGTGACTAAGTGTCCCTGCGCCGCTACTGCGCAAAGACCACCCCGGAGCTAGTAAGGATACCTGATACGAGTGGTCGTGCTCCCCGGGTAAGTTATCCATATATTTGATATACTTTTTTATATATAGGGATGATGCTAATATTATATAGCGTAGCCTTGAATAAGGAGAACACAGGAATCTGCGATGTTGCAGTCAATGGCGACCAGATGTGCGGCATGTTCTTTGGAGACCAAGTCTCTCCGTGTCGACACCTGCGTAACAAGCACCCAGGAACAGGTGAGGAGATACTTTTCATATGCTACGAATGTTTTCCTGAATAGGAGTGACAGGCATGATGTGTTGATTGAGCATATCATCATGTGTAGGGCAAGACCGCGGAAGACAGATATTATTATTCTACTGTCATTTTCCCACCTAGGGATTGGGTTATGTGTATCAGTAGGCTCATATGGAGCTTTTCTAGGATTGTTTTCACCACCGAATAGTGATCTGAAATACTCTACCACCAAGGGCGTTCTCTTGCCGCTATGAGACCCGGTTATACTTTTTAGCGCTTCGTATATTGTGGAGTGATGTTCTCCAACTAATGCCCCTCCTTCTACCGTAACACCGAGAAGAGAAGAACATCCAGGAAAGACAACAGAGTGTCTGTTATACAAGTACAATATTCCTTATATGATCTCGAGTCAGATGAACTATATTTCAAGGTTATCGGAGTCCCACGTTGTTTAAGGACAAAGGTCACATGCGCATCCGAGTGCGCGCTCGTATATCTCCACTGGGAATGGAGCCCACGAGTGGATATTCTATGCAAGACGGGTAATTGCAGGACTAGCGGGGATTGGGAGTGTATTGGGCTAAAATATTACCCAAAGATAGAGGTGCGGTTGAGTGCCTGGTTCCAATTATTCCACGTGTGATGGAAGTGGGTAATGAGGCTTCAAACTATTCAATTTTATGATATCTTGGGTCATTCCCCACGTCGCAAATATTAAGCGTATATTGTTGACATTGGATACGAGCATCGTATGTTGTATGTTTTGGATATTCGGGTAAATGGACCATTTTGACTAATAGCGCAAACTTTGGTTATTTCTGGACCTCGGGAACTGCGTGTCCAGGGGTTAACAATTAGTAACATGAACATGTGGACCGAGCAATGATATTTTATTTTTGAGGGCAATTGATATGAAGAGAATAAGTGTATACCTATGTTGTAATAAGATGTCATTCCATTGACTAAAGCTCGGGTCGAATGACCCTACAAAGTACAGCGCTGACCAGTTACAAGACGTTAAGAGACGGAGAAATAGCGGGAAAACAAAGGACCTTTCTTTGAATGCTTGTCCTTTTGAATTCTTTGTATTATTTGTATTCTCTGTACTCTTTATGTTGTCGATATTCTTTGTTGTGCTCCTCCAACATTGTGTGTTTTGGATCTTTCCGTAGTGTGCGAATAGTAAAACTACCGTTCTATTTGTCTTGGTTTGTGCTCGATTAACTTCAAATCCAAGACAAACGGGAAATTAAAACCTTGGAAAAACAATCAACATCGTGCAGTAGCTCGAATCGTCATCCCCATAAACGCCACCTCCGTTTCTCCGCACATGCGACTCATCGCGGGGACAAACTCTCCCCCGTCTCCGGGGATTTTCCGGGGTTCATCCAAGGCAATGCATGATGACCTGGACAACAAGGAATAAAGGAATAGACCTAAAATTGAGATGTGTTTTTTTGCCATCCAAAGGTGTTAAAGCGTTGAGTCTTTTGAGTTTCTCAACTCCCCTATTCCCAACCCCTGTAGGGCCCAATGACGGTAGACCATCTAGTGGCCATCTGGTGGCGTCGCCAATTACTTTTTTGTGGGTTGAATTAACCAAATAAGACAAGGAATAACTTACACTAATGGCCGTGCTTATGAAATTTACAAATATTAATAAATTATCATTCTCCTTCCATCTTCGTTTTAGAACCCTAATGATGTTGCACCTATGTGCGCGATAGAGACGGCTCTTCTTTTGGTGACTGGACTTCATGAAGTTTGCGTTTTATTTATTTCCTGAACTCCCTATCGGAAACGAGTTTCCGCCTATTTCACCTCTTCCACCTCGTTTACCTGATCTTTATTTACTCTCCACGACAACTCTCTAGCAACTGCCCAAGGTTGACATGAATACAGCCCACGATGACTACCGATCACGTCTCGAAGCCTACCGAGGCCGATGCCCTGATCCTCGAAGCTTGGGGCCAGGGTCTGATGGTCGGAAGTCTACTCATTATGGCCGCTATAACTCTTGCCAATATGAAATCACATATTCTCTTGCACAAGCTGATCTTCGCTGAGGTAAGGAAGTCAAAGGACTACCTAACCCAGTCATTTATACGCTGAGCAGAACTTCGGCTAATATTTGCATTAACTATAGCTCATTCTAGCTATGGCCCATGGTACTTTTATCTTCCCCCACGAGCCAGTCTATGGCTGGTATCTATCCGTAACCGCGATCGGTCTCAACATCTCCTGGGCCCTGCATAATGTTATCGCCTGGATGAAGAATCGCCCATTCCTATCGCGAAAGGTTTCGATCATCTACATTGCCACTGTTATTCTCTGCTGGCCCTATTGGGGTTTGGAGATCTATGCGAACTTCACATACTTCAACAATATCAATAAGATTTTCCTGACGACTCGGCCAATGGAGCCATTATTCCGGTTCGTCATTCCCTTTCCGTTCAAATATCGAGTGCGATTCCTTCAAATTTGAAGTCACTTTTGCCCTAACATATATATCCTCTATCAACAGGGACCCATGGTGGATCTTCACAACAGCCAGTCTATTCTGGACGATCAAGCGCGAATACAACTTCGGATTATGGGAACTCCTAGTAGTCAGCCCACGCTTCGGAATCATGCTAGCAGCAATGTGCCTGTCAATTATTTTCATGATTGTCGATACCTGCAGTGTGCTGAATGCCTTTTCCAGCACGCTCCCAACAGGTGTCGAACCGTTCTGGAAAGTACGTTCCCATCCTGCTGGTCTATTTTCCACAACACACACTAACCATATCCCAGCTATCCTTTATCTTCAAATGTCTCTGCGACACTGTCATTCTTGACGACTTCAAGACAGCCCTCGATCATTTACGTATACACTGGATGCGCAAGAAGGATGGACAGTTGTTCGTCACCCCACTCACTGCTCCGAGCTCCAACCCTCGTCCATATAGGGCAGGTGGGGATATTGAGGCTGGTGATTTGCCTACTACCCCTAATACCCCTACGAAGGGATCATATTCCCATGCAGTGCATCTGGACGACGTTTAAATGTTTAATGAAATACCCCGGTTTGCTTAAGGATCTTGATTCGAGGCGTAGCATTTCAAGAAAACAAAACAGAAGGAAACAAATAAGGGAAAGCTTCATCGAGGTTAGGTAATTAATGGGACATACAGATCCTTTTCTATTTGTAGATATGCTGCCATAGGTAAGGGGATCTGCACAACCCCTGGAGAATTCATTCGGAGGATTATCATATCTTCATGCAGTGTCGCATTTACGAAGTTCTTTTTCCTGGTCTCACTACCTACGGTGAACGGTACTTGAAAAACGTTGTAGATATAAAAGAGGACATGTTTGTTTCATCCATTCTTCACTTCTCAATCGTTTAATTCTCACTTCTGAATGTCAACCAAAGAGACAATAGTTCACTTTCCGGCCACTTAGATAACTCTTACTTTCCAAGGTTTCCGAGTTCTTCTTGCCAAAACAAGAGTTGGGTAAATATCCCTCTGCTACACCTCACAGCTGCTTTTCTTCTGCAGATCTCCAACCCTCTTCTGCAAATCAGCCTAGACCCACAACGAACCCTTAACAACAGTGATGTGTCAACCCACTCAGCCCCCAGCTCAATAGTGAGAAATGCTCAAACTACGCAACGCTTCATCGATGCCACCGATCGTGGAATGACGCCTGACTCTACCATTCTTGAACGATCATTCAGCTTGAAATCAGTTATCTCTACCACATCCTCGTTTAGTCGACATTTCCAGAAAGCACGTTCTCGGCCAAATTTGCAGGATGTTCGTCAGATTGGCATGGGATTACAGGTGTCGTGTTCGAACAGGCTGATAAGGAGTTTTCCTAAATGGGCTTCTGCATTGACTACAGGCTAGACGCTATACGAATATCGCTAATACCGACATATCACTGACGCAAGAACTGTCTTCGGAATACACTAGGGGCTGTAGGCTGGGTGAATGAATAAACACACTCATCGCCAGCATTTTGTGGGTCTGTGTTTTCTTAATAATTTTGTGGACTTCGTGTAGATTAAATGTCGGGATCGGCTTCTCGGTGGCATGCTACTCGCCGAGATTTCGGGCCACTCCTCTCCGCGGGACTTATGTACGTACAGCGAACAGCGCACCCGCTTTATTGCACCACATCAGGTATCGCAGAGGCAAGAGCCATTTTATTTCACTTTGCGGGAGATATAATTGTCGCAGCCTCATTTGAGGGCCCTGAAGACCTAGGTAATTAGAATTGTGTTGAAGAATGAGAGTGATTTTGGGAGTCGGGATTACATCGGAATGCGGAGAGATCGGAGTCCGCCAAGGAGGGGTAGTTTCGGCAAGTTTGCCGATCTATACGGCATCAGAACATTTGCATGGTCTAGTTGGATATTGATATTGATATTCAAGGATACCATCCAAGAGTAGGTGATTGTGAAACCAATTACTCCTACAACCTTGTAACGCAATATGACAATAATAATAACATTGGCAAATCTCCAGATCTCGGCGACGTCACCGATGCGACCAAAGGAAGGTCCACCCCCAATTTACCCCCACGCATACAAATACTCGATCCCCCCTCTAAAGTTGCTCTCCTTTTCTTCATCATTTACATACATACCTAACTACGAAAGTAAACATCCAACTACATCAATCATGGCTCTTTCCGCACCCAGCACAGACGTGAGTTCCCCATACTCGCAACACAAAAACCAAAAGCTAACCAAGAAACAGCCCAACGTCCTACTCGCACAAGAAACAAGCGCAGACCAAATCTTCCCCACCTTCACAGCAGACACCGCCTGGCAACTCGGAAATGCACTGAGAGACCGAATCCTCAGTCTCCCAGAGGGCCAACGCAAGCCAGCCCTAGTCTCCATCGCTCTCAGCGGCGGAGCCCCGCTCCACGTGGTATTCCAATCTGCGACAGAGAGCGGCACGATCCCCGACAACGAGAACTGGGTGCGCCGGAAGCGCAACACCGTGCTCCGGTTCGGTGTCTCGAGCTGGACTATGAGACAGAAGACCG